ATATAACACCTTTATTACAAAATGCAAACTTTTTCCTCAAAACCATGGAAGTTTTCAGAACTGCAATCAGTAAGTATATGTACACTGAGATGCTGTATGTATCTGTTTTAAAAGAAAAAAGATGAAAAGCAGAATTCTCATTTTTTGGCCAAGAAAAAAACAAATAACCATAAATGGGAGAGACCATGATTTTAATGTGGTGGAATTCTAAGAAAAATGTAATAAATGTACTTGAAGCACTTGAATTCTTCTTTAATTTAATGCTAGGAATAAATTAATCTGATTTTTTTTCTGTGGCATATTGAAGCTCTCTTCCTTCAGTGTAAGTGTTCAATGGGTCATGAAGAAAGTTAAATATGTAAATATATAAAATATATAAAAATATATAAAATATATAAAATATATAAATATGGTGATGCCTAAAAAGACAAAGGTATCAATGAGATTAACTTATGTGGCCCATTAAGCAATTGCACGCAGATAGCCTAGGATTTTTAATTGTAGGTAATAGTCAGTGAGGAGTTGTTTTTAAAAGACATAAACATATGGGAATTAGACATGCTGTTCAAATTGATAATGGCTTCTTCTGCTAATAATGAAATTACCTTTGAAAAGTTTGGGATATAGATAGATGTAATTTAATTTCTGGTCCCAGGTAAGATGAGTAAAAATTCATTACTTACATAAGCAGAGTTCAGTATTGAACCTCTAGCTCATATTTGTATAATTTCATTGCAGTTGCTTTTCTTTTGTTTTCTTTCAGCTTTGTATCTTCAGCTTAAGCAGTGATCATAGTTACCGTTGTGTGGCACATACTGACTTAAAGAAAGAGCAAGAGAAATTCTATAATAAAATCTGGAAATCTGAAGAAGAATTAGGTAGCATAGTGCTTCTAGTATGCTGGTTTTGCTATATTTCAATTGTTATTGACTACTGAGTGTGTGTGCCTTTTATGCCATGAAAGGTTAGTGTAAGTGATGGAGTTTTGAATCTCGGTCACATGGAATCTTTGACTGAAGTTGATATGAAGGTGGGGATTGGCATACAGGGAGGAATTACATATATATGTCTCTAATAACATCTTGGATAATGTATCTGCTTGTAAATCATTGCATGATACATGTGAGAATAAAATCAATTCCTAAAAAAGATAATCCATTGTCTAAGTGGAGTACCATTTCTCAGTTACCTTTGAAGCTCCTAAGAATCTTCTATTTTACGCTGTGTTATGTTGTTTTATTCTATATGTTTTGCTGTGCTATGTTGTTTTACGTTTATACCAGAGCCCCCATGATATATTATTTAACTGACAGTGGTATTTTTATAACACTGAGTACTTATAAATGAATAACGATTGCACCTCAGCAAGGTGATTCTCTGGCTCAAGACATCTCCATCTTTTGAAATGGAAAGATAGTGTGGTCTTATTTCATGCTATTTTACTGAATTACTTTTAATTCTCTCTTAAATCCCTTCTGTTTGCCTTATTTCATTGTTTCGTTGACTGATGATATTGTTGATTTTTTTTTTTTTTTTAAGTGAAAGGCAAAATGCTTCTGAGCTTTGCAAAACAAACAGCATGAAACTAGAGGGGTCAGTGGAAGCATCATTGCCTGTTCTCCTAATTGAACACTGTGACTATTCAGTATGTTTCCACAATGAAGAAAATATAAGTCCTTTAAAATATCACCAGGTTCTTAGGTTATTTTCACAGCATCAATTTTAATTGAAACTTTTTCCTTTGAACTTGAAATGCATTTAAAATCTTCTATGGGATGGCTTATTATTTTTGTCATATTGGAATCAAGTTAGCTAGTATTACTGTGTCTTATATATTAAAAGAAAAAAAAAAAAAAAGCTTCTTTATCATACTCAGGTATGTTTGGTTTTTTTGTTTTTTTTTTGTTTTTTTTCCTAATAGATGCTGTGCCCAGAATAGAAGCTATTTTTGGATAGGAACCTCTACTGGCTTATCATTAATAAATTTAGCAAACTTGGAACTGGAAGCGTTTTTATGTTACAAAGGTATCATTAGAAAATGTCTCGCTACAATCTAACATGATTGCTTTTCTTTGTTGGCTGATATAAATAGTAAAAGAATTAGTTAATACAGCAAAAATGTTTTTTAATATTTTAATTTAGCAATTAATTTTACTGTGCTTTTCTTTCACTGATGACTTGTTTCAGAACGTGTCAGTACTAGATTTTTGTAGTGGTTACTAATGAATTCTTATTCAATTTAGCAAGCTAATTACAAGGCATGTTATTCTACTCATACTTCATGATGTGGCTGTAAGCTAGAAGGATATATACTGAAAATCGTGGGTTATGATTGTGTCAAAACAGCATGAGTAAATTTTTTTCCCTTTTAAATGTAAATACATCTCTTACCACTGTGTTCTTTTTGGTAAAGATTACAGTGGCCTCAGCGTTCGATTTGCTAGATTGTGTTCATTAATGAAGAAAGCAGTTAATGGAAAGGTGAGTATATATTTAGCATTTATTTAATGAATGTTTACATTTCCAGTTATTTTTATAAACGTTAATTCTGCATTTTGTATACAAATCATGTACATGTACACTTTTTTATTTATTCAAAATGTGAATTGCAGAGTTATTTCGCTGGAGATGATTCTTTAAGGAGTTTTCTAGTTTTAATAGTTCTCAAAATTTAAATACTATCTGAAGTGACTAGAAAGCAAAAGGTGAATTGTTTTTTATGGTGTTTGGTGTGTACCTTGAATGTCAAGAATGACCACTGAGGAGGCAGAGGCACTGCCTTAGAGGAAAAAAAGGTAAAAACGTTGTTACACCTTTTCCTCAAACAGATGCTGGGATGAACTTCTGAATCTTTCCAAGAAATCTGCAAAAACTGAGTTGTGAGAAAATTTCTGTGGAAAATCAGCAAAAGAGCTTTTCTAGGAAATGAAATATATACATATAATATTACATACAAGCACCATAAGCATATTTTGAAGGACACCATTAAGCACTTTTTACTGCTTAATGCTGTGAGACCAAATCTATGGATATCTCTGAGTAATTTTCATAATTAAAAAACAGTTTCATTCTCTGTTATAAATACCTTTGTGTTAGAGCTTAAACTGTGAAATACATGGTGTGCTATTTTATAGTGTAATTATTGCAGGTTTTATGCTTGATCACTTCAATGTTTGAAGACATCATTGCTGTGTTGGAAGTTAACCCTGCTTTGTTGATGACATCTCAGCAGAGTGGTGTTCTTAAAAGTGGAAATGAAGGGAGTCTATCAGTCATTGCCAGGTACAGAATAACTTAAAATGTTCTTATTTTTTTTCAAAATTGGATAATGCATTTGTTTTTCTGACACTTAGGTGTATCACATGCTTTTGTACAGTGTTATTTTCTGACTTGGATTAACTTTACCTGTTTCCCTGTCCTGCTTTATTGCCCTGAGTGGGAGAAATTACTAAATTGCATAGAGTGGTTGGGACCAGAAGGACATCTGGAGGTCATCTTGGAGGTCCCTTCTAAAGCAGGGACACTCAGAGCAGGGCCCAAGTCCAGTTCGCTTGGAAAAATCCCTGCTGAGTCTCCTCTTCTCTGCGCTGAACAGTCCAAATTTTCTCAGTCTTTCCTCACAAGAGAGACACTACTGTCCCTTCATTGTCTTTGTGGCTCTTTGCGCTACTGCAGGGAGAGTTTGGCAATGTCTTTCTTGAACTGGGGGATGTAATCCTGAACACTAAAACAGAGCAGAGGGGAAGGATCACCTGCTTTGACCTGGTGGCAGCACTTCTTGGTGCACCACATGACACCATTGACCATTTTTGCTGAAAGAGTGCATTGCTGGTTCACTTCCTGTATGGGGTTTGCCGGCATCCTCAGGTCCTTTTCTGGACTTGCTGGTCCTCTGCATGTATTGGGGCCTGGAGTTTTTCTTTCCTATGTGCAGGACTCTGCACTCTTCCCTGTTGAACTTGTTGATGCTTTTGCCAGCACACTTCTCCAGCCTGCCAGGATCTCTGGATGGCTGCACAACCCTCTGGTGTATCATTCATTCTCCCAGTTTTGTGGTGTCTTCTGAAGCCTTGATAAGGACACACTCCACCATCCAGATTATTAATGCAGATGTTGAACAGGATTGGTCTCAGGACTGATCCCTGAAGTATTCCACTAGTTATTTGATTCCTGCTAGACTTTGTGCCATCAATCACTTCTGGGCCTGGCTGTTCTTGCTGTGTGCTCCTCCAGCCCATGCTCATGAGCCTCTCTATGAGGATCTCATGGGAGACAATGGCAAAAGCATTCAAGTCCAGGTAAAACATATGAACCACTTTCCTCTTGTCTACAAGATAATCGCTTAATCACAGAAGTTTATAAAGTCAGTGAAGCATCACTTCCCTGGCAAATCCATGGAGATAGTTCTCAATGAGTGTCTGGTCCTTCATGGTCCTTGAAATGACTTCTGTGAAAACACTGAAATTTCAAGTCGCAGAAAAACCTGATGTATATAGTGAAGTGTAGATTATCACAAATTAGTAAAAATAAGTTTTGACACCTTTTCCTAATCTGATTTTGTCCATTGAATTTATCAATGTTTTATTTATTTTTTTATACTTAGGTGTTCTCTGTTGCCAACATCTCCATTGTGTGAAAATTTAAATAAAAATAAAAAACGTCCGAGTAAAACACATGGTAAGTGTAAAACAATCTTGATATGAATTAATAAAGTCATACTTTTAGAAACAGTAGAAGACTGTTGCCTATTCTAAGCAATATATTTATTTTTTAAGTTATATGTATTTTATTTTTATTTTATTTGACAGAATTTTATTTTTCTAGTAGTATTTCATATTGTACCCAAATATTTGTAATGAAAATGATGATAATGTGATGTTTTTCTTTTTTAAAATATAGTCTTCTGAGAAATGTCAATTTTGAAAGCATTAAAGTATGTAGAATGCTTACATTTTTTCACATCTTTTCATAGCGTGGAATATAATTTTTTATATAACTTGACTTTCTTTCTTATTTTTAGTTAAACGTTTGATTGGTTTTGTTGTTGTCCTGAATACTCTTTTGTTAATACTTGTAAGTTTAGGAAATTTACTTTTGACTTTGGTTTCTACTACTCAAAAAAAAAAAAAAAAAAAAAAAAAAGAAAGGTCTGGCTTTCAGTTGCTGTTGGAGAACATATAATTTCTTTGCTCAGTAGTACTAAAACTAGGTTCGGAAAGTAACTAGAAAATATTTTTTTTCATAATCACCTTTTCTTTTGAAAAGATAGAAAATAACTGGTAGCTGTAGACACTTAGAATAATCTGTTTTGATTCTATTGATTGTAGTTGGTGGACATGCTAGAATGTCAAAGGTTATAGTTTTGGTTTTATGTGGAAATCTGAGAAAGCATCTGTTTTTGCTAGAATTTGAAGCTTCTTCTGAAACCCAGCACTGTGTTATTATTGACATGTCACATTCAGATATCTTAGTTGTTCTGAGGAAATCCTATGATATCTCGGAGCAAGTGGTGTCAGGCATTCTTGAGGAAGGACCATTTTCTCCTTTGTGATTCCATATAGAGAAGTGATAGCTGATGGGAGCTAAAGATGTGTCTATCCTCAGCACTGGTAAATGTGCCCACGAGATCACTCACAATGCTCCTGAAGGTTTTCCCTTGGAATATGAACAAGATTTCCACACCCTCCAACTCCCGCCTTTTAAATTTAATTAGGTCATTTCTGCTGATATGAAATGCTCGTATTTAGTTTTGAGCTGGAAGCTGCCTTTCAGGAGTGTTATTACAAGAGGGTGAATGCAGCCATTATTAATGACTTCTCAAGCCACATAAAAGAACAGTCATTTATGTGCACCTACTAGCCAGTTTGTTTCAGATGTTTAGATATATTCCAAATGTAAGTTGTATTTTATAGCTAGCAAATATAAAACCTAAGCATAAAGTAGGCAACTACAGAATACATTCATGAGTAAATGATGAAAAAAGTTCCTTAGAACAGTATTTTTTGTTAGTTCAAAGTTTAGAGAAGTTCCTACTTGATATTTGAGGAGGGATATTATGCAAAGAGATAGCTCATTTCTTTCCTTTTCTCAGTCTTCTGAAGTAGCTCAGTAGTGTTTTGTATTACAAGGAGACATTAAAAATTGCCACTGTTCTAGCATAAACGTATATCCATAAACTTGTAAAAATGTAACGTCACATTAGGAAGCTCTTAAGTGAATATTAATTATTTTATTATAGGAGTGAAAAGCACCGTGAAAGATCAACCACTGGTTTTTCATAATGAAATTAAGGTTATACAGCTGCACCACAGTGAGTAGATACACTTGTACTTTATCTGTTTTACTGGGATCTGATATTTTGTCATGTAATAGAGATGTATAGTCTCACCACTGTGAAACTGATGACCCATGAAAAATAGATATGATTTTAACAAACGTAGTCCTTTTAAAAACATTGTAAATTTTCACAGCTTCTGATCAGTGATCAATTGCAAGTGATCTTGAAATGAAAACTTCTGTGTACATTTACATAGTGTCTGTTTCTAAATACTATGTCACTTAAACCCAGTTAGTTCTTTCCCTTGTTCTACTCACATACAGCATTCTCAGATCAACCCAGGGAGAAGTATGCCATTTATTTCCTCTCAACCATCCTTTGAGATGGGCCATGTTACAATTTTATGAGCTGTACAACCTCTCTTTATTGGCATGGTGTTATTTTAGAAGAACTTTCAGGATTGTTGTTTTTTGTTTTTATTTTTTATTAGGAGCTTCTAAAATCACTTGAGGAACACTTCTCCAAAAGTTTGCTGTAGCTTTGCCTGTTTTTTTGCTGGCTGTTAAAGGTTTATCTTTGGATGGAGAACTCACACTCAGATGAAATGAGTAGTGTTGTGTTAGTGTTCCCCACATGAATGGAGAATTTGTCAGTTTCTCAGAGCCACAGATAGATCATAGAGACGGCACTTCAGTTTTGGTATAGATTATTCTGGACAACGCCATCCTTTTGTAGTATAATTGTTAGAAATTAGAAGTATAGTTGTAAGTAGAATGGTGCCAATTGTTAGAAGAATTGTTAGAATTTGTAGTATAATTGTTAGAAGTTATAAGTGTAGTTATGAGTAGAATGGTGCCAGGTATTATATGAGAAATTACCCTTACTTTGAATGCAAGTGAGTATTGGAACTGAGAAATTAAGAGCCAGCTTTTACCTGTCAGCAATAGATTTCTTTTAAGTGATCTTAGTGAAAGTCTGCTTATGACTACATATTCAGATTGCAACTGGGGGCTGTGGTTTTTATCTTCTGAGAAAAGCCATTAAAGAGTGGGACCTCAAAATAGATTAAATCATTTTGAAGTGATGAACCTGTTTTTGCTGATTTCTGAATGTTCTGTTTGTGTTCCTAATTCTGTGAATATAGAGATTGTGTTGTCTTTTCTCTCCAGTTTCTCTCAACCTAAAAGCCTTGGATAAGATTGGATGAATACAGTCACTGGACTACTAGTTTAAAAAAGTTCTATTCATCCCATTCCTAATTCCATGATCTAGAATTTCCTTGTTTAATCAAAACCACTACTGAAGCATCCCTTGAGAACATGACTGAAACTGTCCCAAGCAATAGATAGAAGTTTCAGAGGAAACTATATCTGGCTTGAGTACATCTATGAATTTTCTCCTGCATCTCTTGTATCTCATTTGTAGCTTTGCTTGTCAGTTAAAGGAGCTTTTGGTTGTGATGATGTGTGCAATCATTGTGATGATGTGTGGAATAGATGAAAACCATTCATTTATCCCACCACACAGTGTTCACTGTGGAATATCCTAAATTACTTTTGAATGTGGTGTCAGACTTCTCCCTTAACCAAAAAAATCTCCCCTGTGTTTTCCTGAAGTTTCAGACATGTGAAGATAAACTGTTGAAACAGAGTGTTAAAATGTACTGCAAGATGGAGTGTCTTTCACACTTCAGAGTGATCTGAATACAGCTCAAGCTCTTGCAGGTTTTGCTAAGAAATGTCTCAATTTTTAATATATGTTGTGCTGCTGCTACTAAAAGATTTAGAGCTGTGTTTGCTAAGTATAGTTTCCGGAGAATCTAGACTCCATTTTTTTCAGGGAATGTAGCTTAGAAACCTGTAATAATTCTGCTCAGATATAGCAAAGACTGTCTTTGTTCCATTTGCTTTGTGTTTATGGTAATGATTTTTTCCTGTACTGCTCTATGAAGGAATTGTGCTGCATGTTTTGTTAACTCAAAAATCACTCTCTCCTTTTGGTTGTTCCAATTTCCTTTCTAAATCTTTATTGGGCATTTCGTGTTTTTCTTGAAGCTACTCTTGTTCATTCAATCTGCAGAAAGAAATACCTGAACACTTCATCTTAATGGACTTTGGCATTCAGAATGCAGTGTCCAATAAATAAAGCATGGAAAGCAAAACTTCAGCTGTAAACTGGAATATTATAAATCACTACAAAGTCATCTTTTTATCATTCAGCGTGTACATTGTCTTACTTACAGGAGGATACATAAACAGTAAGAAGTAACTAGGATTGTTTTTTGTTTGTCAAAAAAACTACCACAACAAGAAAACCCTGCTTCTCTCATGAAACAATGAATGTTTCATATAATAGTCTCTGTTCTTTCTTGTAGAATGGCCATGTTTTCTCCAAATACTAAACTGAAGAAAAATAATATATTGAATTGCAAGACCAGTTTTGAAGGGTAGGTAATATAGCAACTGCTTTAGAGGAGGAACAAATTTAAATGAATTCTATCGTAAATATGTTTTGTAACTGCTTCTCTTATAACTTTAGTTATGAGTATCTATGTGTTGGAAATATCCAAGTAATTTTGTCAGGACGGTATCTCTGATAAAAGCAGAATTTATTCGCAATTGCAATGGCGGGCGTGCCGCAAGCAGGAGCGCACCTATGGACACAACATGACAGCCTTTATACCGTTTTCTTCCCTCCCTTGCCTTCTCCCCCTCCCTTGCTTCCCCTCTGGCTGGGTACTCCAGGTTCACAATCTTATCAGAAGGCTTTACATTTGTTGTTTACTTGTTAATTTGTTTGTTATCTGGTGTCAGTCCTGTTGTCTCCAAGATGTCTCCTTGTTCATACTGATATGGTGATTCTGTTCAGAGTCCTTGTTTAACAAAGAGTATGGAAGGGAGGTGCCCAATTTTACCTTCTTCAGGCACTCCCGAGGCATGTAATGAATTGTCCTTTTAAATTACACAGGATACTGTTGCAGTGTGTGTGACATATTCTCAATACTGGCTGTACATAAGTTGTTACTAGCTTATATATATATTCATACATATTACTATACTTATATACCAAATATGTGTTGTTGGGGAAGATTTATCTAGGGGATTACCAATAAAATTTTATCAGAGAACCCCAATAATGTAGAAAGGCCCCTGAAAAGAACTATTAGTTCTAATAAATGACCCAAATAGTAGAGAGGCCATGAAATTAACAAAATTCTTATTTTGTTTCTGATGCAGAAACAACATTCAGTTCTCACATATGGAACTAAAACACACTGTAAATTTGCTGTAAAATGATTGTAGCAAGTGATTCAGATCTTCATCTGCAATTCTAATAAGAAAAATAGCTGAATGTGACGCAGTGAGTTTTCATGATTTCATATCATATGCCTCATTTACTTCTAAAGTTGTGTTGTCTTGAGCCTAATCAAGTTTAGTGTAATGGAGTTAAATAGAATATATATGAAAAGGTTGCCCAGAGAGGCTACTGAGATACGGAGATATTCAAGACCTGTCTGGATGCCTACCTATGCAATCTATTGTAGGGCACCTGTGTTAGCAGGGGAATTGGACTCAATCTTTTGAGGTCTCTTCCAACCCCTGCAATTCTGTGATGGTTGATTTGATCAGTGAATTCATAGTCATTGTGGACACAAGAGCTAATGTTTTTAAGAAGCTGGCATTTTTTTGTTAATTGATGTGGTATGTTACATGAGAATATTGCACACATTTTTTTCTCTTTCTACTATATAAAATCATTCTTCTATGTGTTGCAAGCATAAAAATAAAGGATGAATGCTATTTTTCTTCTTTTTCTTAAACTTTCTTAAACTTTTAATAGCTGTGCACATAGACAGGCCCTTAGATGAATACTTAAGATGATTTCATAATTGATTTACGTTATTGTGGTGCCTTAACCTAGTTAACAATTACTGTTTTGTTCAGTGTGCTGTTAAGTAGATGATCAATGTCCTATTTCTGTTTATATACGGAAGTATTTTTCATATTG